TTGTTATTATGACTAATTGTGACTGTCACAATTGTAAAGGTAGAAGTTTTGTAACAAAAACAGGGGAGTAGTTAATCTTACAGTCCAGAAACAGAGGACCCTAGGATCATCAAGGGAGAAGAGTACAAGCAGAATTCAGGACCCTATCCAGGTTAGAAGCAATGACACCACAGAAGGAGACAGAGATGGGGACATAGAGAGAGGGAACAGGGGAGGACTCTAGATTCATGGAAACAGAGGGCCTGAGAGCTGGTGGCCAGGAGGCAGGCTTACTGAATGCGCCCTTTGGTGGTTTAAATTATTATATACGCCTAAGGTTTTGTTTTGTTTTTTAAAGAGCTAAAGTGAATAGAAATATTGTTAACTGATGGTACATGGAGGGGATTATAATCACTGTAATGAAACAAAGTATATGATTTGTTGAATGTAGAACTGATGATCTGCCCTGTAAACTTTCTCTCAATTCACAACAAAAATGAATATGGAAGGAATACACAGAATCACTACACCAAAAAAAAAAAAAAGGTCTATGTTCAACCATTTTAAAAGGAAGCATAAGATCAAGAGCCAAAGATACTGAAGAAATTAGTCCAAGGTGCACTGAAGGCACTGGTAAAGAACAAAGCACAGGAAATTTATAGAATACAAACTGAAATATTACAACAAACTGGTGCAGCACTGGAGGTACTCACTTATCTATGACAACTGATTGAAACCTGATTTAACTAATTGGAAGAGATATAATTTTTGCCCTTCAAAAGAAAGGTGACCTAGTGGAATGAGAAAATTGTTGGGATATATGGTTAATATAGTATGAAAGTAAAATTTTGCTAAAGTTAATTCAAAAACACCTGCAACAACACATTGACAGAGAACTGTCAGAGGTTCAAACTGGATTCAGACAAGGACGTGGAAAAAGAGATTATCTTTGTTGCTATAAGATGAACGTTGGCTAAAAGCAGAGAAAACCAGAAAGATACTTACATGTGCATTACTGACTTTGCAAAGGCTTTTGATTGTGTGGATCATGACAAGATACAGACACCATTGCAAAGAATGAGTACCCTAGAGAACTTAATTGTGCTCATGAGAAACCTGTACATAGACTAAAAGGCAGTTGTTCAAATAGAACAATAGTTTCAAATTAGGAAAGGTAATGCTCCAGTGTTGTATTCTTTCACCATACTTATTCAATTTATATGCTGAGTACATAATCCAAGAAGCTGGGTTATAAAAAGAAAAATGTGGCTTCAGGATTGAAGGAAGACTCATTAGCAACCTGTTACTTGCAGATGATATAACCTTTGTTGCTGAAAATGAAGAGGACTTAAAATACATACTGACGAAGACAAAAGACAATAGCCTTTGGTATGGCTTGCATCTCAATGCAAAGAAAACAGAAATCCTCACCACTGGACCAATAAACAACATCCACATAAATTGAGAAAGACTGAAGTTGTCAAAGACTTCATTTTTATTGGGTCAACCATCAACACTCATGGAAGCAGCAGTCAAGAAATCAAAGGACATATTGCATTAGGCGGAGTCCTGGTGTGGCTCTGTGGGTTAAAGTGCCAGACTGCAGAATCGTTTTGAATCACAAGGTCAGCGGCCCAAGCTCACCAGTCGCTCCTTGGAAACCCTATAAAGGGTCACTATGGGTCGGAATCAACTCAACAGCATTTAACAACAACTCTGCATTAGGCAAATCTGCTTCACAAGACCTCTTTAAAGCGTTCACGAGCAGAAATGTCAGTTTGAAGACTAAGGTGCCCCTGATCCAAGCCATGGTATTTTCAATAACCTCATAGGCATGTGAAAGTTGGACAATGAATAAGGAAGACCATTGAAAAATTGATGCATTTGATTTATGGTGTTGGAAGAAAATATTAAAAGTACCATGGACTGCCAAAAGAATAAACAAATCTGGGTTAGAAAAAAGACAGTCAAAATGCTCCTTTGGAAGCCAGGATGGTCAGACTTCATCTCTCATACTTGAGACACAGTAATCGGAATGGACCAGTCCCTAAAGAAAGACATCAAACTTGATAAAGTGGAAGGTCGGAGAAGAAGAGCAAGACCCCCAACAAGATGGATTGGCAATGTGGCGGCAGCAGCAATGGGCTCAAGTGTAGCAATGATTGTGAGGTTGGTGCTGGACCGGGCAGTGTTTTGTTCTGTTGTACATAAGGTCACTATGAGTTGGTACCAACTGATGGTTCCTAACAACAACAACCTGGACAACCAGTTGGAAGAGAGTCATCTTTGTGTCCATTCCAAAGAAAAGTGCCTCAACAGTATATAGAAACCCTCCAATAGTATCATTAATATCATATGCAATTAAAATTTTGAAGATAATTAAAAAATGGCCACAACAGTAAACCAACAGGATACTGTCAAAAACTCAAGTTGGACATGGAAGTATGGATATCATGACTGATGTTGGATTTTGGCTGAAAGCAGAGAGTACTAGGAGGAAGGTAACTTATGATTCATTGACTATGTACAGGCATTAGACTGTGTAGATCATGACAAACTGATATTGCAAGGAATGGGTATTCCAGAACACTTAATTGTGCTCATAAGGAACTTGTACATGAACCAAGAGACTTGTTAGAAAAGAGCAAGGTGATACTGAATGGTTTTAAATCAGCAAAAGTATGCATCAGGGCTGTATTCTTTCACCATACTTATTTAATCTGTATGCTGAGCAAATAACCTGAGAAGCTGGGTTAGATCAAGAACTTGGCATCAGGATTGGAGGAAGAGTCATTAATAACCTGTGATATGCAGGCAATATAATCTTGCGTGCTGGAAGCTAAGAGGACTTAAAATACTTACTGATGAATATAGACAACAGCAGCCTCCATCCAGTACGAATTCCACCTCAATGAACAGAAAACAAAAATCCTCAAAACCAGGTCACAATGTTGTTGTTAAGTGCCTCTGAGCTGGTTCTGTCCCATAGCCACCTTGTATAGGGTTTCCAGGGAGGAGCTGGTGAGTCTGAACCACCGACCTTGTGGTTTAAACCAACCTTGAGGTTGAGTATTTATACTGAAGTACCACACCAGGTCTCCAGTCTTTTTGATCAGATCTTTGAAATAAATAATATCATGAAAAATGGAGAAAGTCCAAAGCCATCAAAAACCTCATCTTGCCTGGAACCACAATCAACACTCATGGAAGCAGAAGTTAAGAAATCAAATGACATACTGCATTAGGCAAACCTGCCACACAAGACTTCTTTTAAAGTATTAAAGAGCAAAGATATCAGTTTGAGGACTAAGGTGTGCCTCACCTAAATCATGGTTTTTCCAATCTCCTCATATGCATGTGTAAGTTGGACAATGAATAAGGAATACCATAGAAGAATAGATGCATTTGAATTATGGTGTTGGAGAAGAATATTAAAAGTACCATGGGCTTCTAGAAGGGAGAAAAAAAAATGCTGTGTTGGCAGAAGTACAGCCAGAATACTCCTTAGAAGCCATGATGGCAAGACTTCATTTCTCATATTTTTAACATGTTATCAAGAGGGAGCAATCCCTGGAGAAGGATATCATGCTTGCTAATATGAAGGTTCAGCAAAAAGATGATCCTCGGCAAGAATGACTGACACAGTGGAATAGCAACAATGGGCTCAAAGTTAACAATTATGAGGATGGCACAGAACCTCATTTTGAGTTGCACAGGGTCGTTTTGAATCAGAACCTACTTGATAGCACCGAACAAGAACAATAACATCTGTATACAAATACGATGGGGTTCAAAGAGTTTCACAGGAAAATCCCATTATCTTGTAAGCAGATTTTTCCATTACAATTTTGAAGCCCCTTCACACACTGTATATGGTTTCATCCTTATGAATTTTTCAGACATACAATCAAAACACTTCCTAGGAAATACTTTCATCAATAGCAATGATGACAGCTTCAACAGAATATGACATACATCTGAATATAAATTTTTAAAATACCATTTTTTACCAACTTTTATAGGGCAATACACTTCTGCAAGCTAGACACTGTGTTATACTGGAGACTATACATAGCTTCTTATTTGTAAGCCTTCTTTCTCACAGTTATACCATGATTTTATTGGCTTTGAAAAAGAATAAATTATTTTTAAATGTTTAGACAAGAGAAAACAGTACTAATTAAATGAGTATGTCTTGATTTTTATTCCATTGTATGTAATGTAATATAAAAATAGCACAAGTAGTCCTCGACTTACAGTGTATTCGAGTTAAGATGAATGCACTAACAATAGTCCGATTTTTCATCTATCATTAATATGTGCTGCAGACAATGTTACATAATGTAAATACTGATGCTATTCTCATGCTAACCTCAAAGACATATAAAGATCAGATTTTATAAAGATATTGATAATAAGAGGTATTAACAATGAAAACTGAAAAAACAACAACAAAGAAGTATTTGAACTTATATTAAAACTGACAGAGTCATCAGAACAGGATCCTGTTGTAAGTTGGGGACTGTTTTACTGAATTGCTTGTAAGAATTCTTTTAAGATTTCACAAGTTATAAGATTTATAAAAGTCTTTTAAATTGTGTTTCTAAATAAATTTCCCCTACTCTCCCACCTATCACAAAAGAAAAAATGCAAAGACTCATTCATGCTAGAAAAGACACGAAGCACTTATGTTAGTAACTTTATAACTCATAATAGAATGAAAAGAAGATAGCAGAAGTGGTAGTTATACAATGGGGGTAAAGTTCTACAGTGGGTTTCAAATGTAATAAAGACAGCTTAGTTCTTTGTGTGTGAGGGAAATTAGGGAAATAACAACAATGGATCTATGACTCATTATAAACGGTATAGTGTAGCAAACACCTAGGTACTAAACTAACCAGTTTTAAAAGCTAGCTACCATTTTCTAAGGTACCCAAAACCTTTTATGTACTATAAACAAATCAGATACTCCTAAACATCAGGTCAAAGAAAGAGGTGAATAAAGAAGATTTGAAACTAACCTGTGTAGCTCTCCTCATCATCTGATAAAGGCACCTCTCTTTTGAGCAGCAATTCCAACTCCTCTGTTTCTGCTACATCCACTGGACGCTCCCCGTGCTTATTAGCTTGAAATGGGTTTCCACCATGACGAAGTAATAGTTTCACTATCTGCAACATTTAAACAGTAGGAGGATTTAGCCCTTCATAGACTGTTTTCATTACAACCATTCTCTTGATACCACTTATATCTTCTGCCTCATCTACTCTGCATTCATACTTCAGTGTTTCTTTTAAATCATTACTACTAATTTTAAGTTCCATTTTCATTGACATCCCCCATCTGATGATCTTATCTATTATATAGATATTCCCTTTTTGATTTTTAAATTGAGCCATCTTAGTACTTAAAACTCATTGCTTTTCTTCCTGTTCAGTCACAAACTCACGGAATATTGAGTACCTGTTAACAAGTTGTGTTCGAAGTCCTGTAGATAAATCAGTGAAAAAGACTAACAAGATCGCTGGTCTACTGAATATACATTTTCAGAAGGAAACTTAAAAGGAAGTATTTTCCCCCTTCTGTTTACAGCTAATCTAATAATGCTTTTAATCTTACTCACTTCTCTATCTCCCAGGAATTTACACTATGAATTATCCAAGAAGGATTTACTTAGAAATGAATGAGGCTTTCCTAGAGCCCTTAAATCACTGTCATCAAGTTGGTTTTCTATAGGACAGGAGCTGCTCCTTTAGCTTTCTAACACTATAAATGTTTATAGGAGCAGACAGTCTCATCTGTCTCCTGTAGAGGTCAGATGGTTTGAACTTCCAACCTTGAGGTTAGTAGTCCAAAGCTTAACCTATTGTGTCACCAGGGTTCCTTACATAAGCCTAATTTTGTATTTGTTGTTTTGTAAATTTTCTTAAAGCAGTCCTCTCCTGTCACATGAACATTTTATGTTTTAGCACCTATACAACCAGGATCTGCCAATTAATTGTCATTTCTTTAATCCTTTGTATCCTCTTCCTTTCTGTATTTTTTATTATCCCTTCTCGAGAAATCAATCTTCCCATTTCATGTCTCTCATTTAAAAAAACCTGAAATAAAGAATCAAAATAGAGCAGCAGAGGACTCTAGTCTCATGGAAAAAGAAAGGCTGTGTGCTGGCGGCCAGGAGGCAGGCTTGCAGAATGTGCCCTTTGGTTGTTTAAATGATTATATATTCCTGAGTGTTTTGTGCATATATCAACCCACGCCCCCACCTCCATTCATAAGGTTTTCAGAAGCAGCAGCCAAGAAATCAAATGGCGTATTGCATTAGGCAAATCTGCTGCACAAGACCTTTTTAAAGTGTTGAAGAGCAAAGATGTCAATTTGAGGACTAAGGTGAGCCTGACCCAACCCATGGTATTTTCAATAACCTCATCTGCATGTGAAAGCTGGACAGAAAATAAGGAAAACCATGCAAGAATGGATGCTTTTGAGTTATGGTGTTGGAGGAGAATATCGAAAGTGCCAAAGTTGCCAAAAGAACCAACAGATCTGTGTTGGAAGTAGTGCAGCCAGAGTGTTCCTTGGAGGCCAGGATGTCCAAACTTCATCTCTCATACTTCAGACATATTGTCAGGAGGGACCAGTCACTGGAGATGGATATCATGTTTGCTTTTTGGTAAGGTGGAGAATCAGAGAAAAAGAGGAAGACCTCCCCCCCCAGTGTGATAGACTGGCAAAGTGGCAGCATCAATGGGCAACAATTATGCATGGCAACAATTATGCGGTTGGTCCAGGATCGGGCAGTGTTTCGTTCTGCTATGCACAGGGTCGCTATGAGTTGGTACCGACCTGATGGCACCTAACAACAACAACCCTCTGCCACCACAAAAAAAAAAAACCAATAGAGGGAACATAAGCAAATATGGTTGAATAGTAATGCACACAGGGAATTGTAATCACTGCAAAGAAACAATGAGTGAAAACTGCAGTTCTCCCATGTAAATTATTGCTCAATTCACAATAAAAACTTGAAAAAAAAGAGAGAGAGAGAGCACTGACATGGTTACCCTTAGATAAGAGAGTGGTAATAGAATGTATGGGAAATGAATAGCATTAAGACTGTATGTTGATTATGCCACAATCTCACTGCATATCTTAAGTGTACATTCATCATAGATGAGGGATCATCAAAATGTTCATGGAAAATAAATATGAAAAACAAAAAGAGAAACAAAATAGTATTAAAACAAGAAACTTTGTTCAAGTCTATGTTATCCTCATCTAGTTAAATACATCTCATGTTTCCTGCATAGTCAAATTCCTGAAGAGATGTTCACCCTGGAAACCTCTACTTTCTTACTGGCCCTTCCTTTTGTACCTGCAATTAAGCTACTATTAATCTTATGAAACAGGTCTTCTAAGATCTCTAAAGATCTAAGCCAATTATTGTTTCCCTAGGTCTTGGTCCTTATCCACTTTTTCATGTCCCATTCAACATCATCCCCTTGGAGATCACATTCACTCTAATTGTTTGAATGTGATGATAATAACACAATTTCTTCATTTTCACTCTTTCTCTCAAAATTATCTTTTTAAAAATTGAGCTGCATATGCTCACAGCATATAACAAACTGAATATATTTTATTTTAATGTAAAAACCTACACCCAAAAGTCCCCAAACTGAGTCCATTAAACTTGTACCCTTAGCTTTACTTTCTTCCTTTACTCAGTGACTGGCACTAAAATCTATTCAAAGTCACTGTCGCCAGAAACTGGGGAGTCCATCACTGACTCTTCTCTTTCATTCATAGTCTTTATCAAATAGGTGACCACGTCCTTTTAATTCTGCTTTCTTAAGTTCTTTTTTTGTCATGATCTTTTGTCTACCCTAACTGACACTGGTACATTCTGACCTTCATCATATATCTCAATATGTTCTAATATTGCAATATTTCCTAAACATATTCTTTTACTTCCATACTACTGCTATGTTGTTGTTGTTCTGTGCTTTTGAGCCGATTCTGACTCACAGTAAGCCTGTATAGGATTTCCAAAAGCAGCTGGTTAGTTTGAACTACTGAGCTTATGATTAGCAATGTAGTTTATTTGATAGCACCACACTAAGACACACATATAGTACAAGGAGAAGTAAAAAATTATCCACACTCTGGCTATAGAATTCATCTCAATCAACTTGTAAAAAGACAAATACATTATTTTTCTACATAACCTCCTCTCTTTTCAATACACTGTGTCCATCTGCCAATAAGCTTTCATATTCCCTTATTTTAAAATGTTTAGGAGAGAACAAACAAGATGGCGGATGAGGGGAATGTGTAGCAAAGAGCTCCGCCAACAACAACACAGAATACCTGACCAAGCAAGCTCAGGGGATGGTCCCAGAACTCTGAACCACATATAAAGGAACACTTAGAAGGTTGGAAGGCTCACAGCTGGGGGAATTTGTGACAGAAGCAAGAAATCTACTGTTTTCTAGTCCAGGACGCTCGGCTGCTTCAGGAGCCGCCATCTTGTGTGAGGCCACGTGGAGGACGGATCGGAGCGTCCATAGACGCCTGGCAGAACCGCTGAGATAAAGGTGTGGATGTTCTTTTCTTTTGGTATCTGTTCATTGGTCCCTTGCTGTCTGCACACCTCCATTCGGGTGACTATAGGGGTGCCTGAGCTAGTGGGCACCCCAGCCCCACCCTC